TTACAAAATAAGACTCCTATTGAGGCTTGGAGCAATATAAAGCCATCAGCAAAGCATCTCAAAGTATTTGGATGCATTTGCTATGTGCACATTCCTAAGGAGAAAAGGCACAAGCTAGAAGAAAAATATGAAGTTGGTATATTTCTGGGATACAGTTCTCAATCTAAAGGCTATCGAATCTACAATCCCAAAACTAAGAAGTTCATGATAAGCCGAGATGTTGAGTTTTATGAATCGGCTTCATGGAACTGGGAGGAAGAAAAAGTTGAAAAGAAAAGTGTAACTATAACACAACCGTGCAGAGAGGAAAATGAAGAAACTCCAGGTACGATTCCTCAATCTACAACTCCTCCAGCTATACAAGATGAAGGCTCTCCAGAACCAGAACCAAGAACTAGATCACTCCAAGATATATATGAAACTTACAACTTCATAACTATAGAACCAGAAAGTTTTGAAGTTGCAGTAAAAGAAGAAATTTGGAGGAAAGCTATGGAAGAAGAAATTAAAACAATTGAGAAAAACAAAACATGGGAACTCGTTGATTGCCCAAAAGACAAAGAAATCATTGGGGTTAAATGGGTCTATAAGACCAAATTTAATCCTGATGGATCAATACAAAAGCATAAGGCAAGGCTAGTAGCTAAAGGCTATTCGCAGCAGCCGGGCATAGACTTCAACGAGATTTTTGCACCAGTTGCTAGACTTGATACTATAAGAGCACTGGTAGCATTAGCTGCTCAAAAGAAATGGAAAATTTATCAGCTAGACGTAAAGTCTGCATTTCTAAATGGAGAGCTCGAAGAAGAAATATATGTGGAGCAACCACAAGGATTTATTGAGCAAGGAGGAAAAAATAAGGCACTCAAGCTAAAGAAAGCCCTATACGGACTTAAGCAAGCACCACGAGCATGGAACAGCCGCATCGACAAGTACTTCATCAACGCAGGCTTCAAGAGGAGCAAAAGCGAGCCTACTCGCTACACTAAAACTCAAGGTAAGTCTGATATCTTGATCGTCTCTCTATATGTGGACGACCTCATCTGCACTGGAAACAATGAAAATATAATTCAAGAGTTCAAAAAAGATATGATGAAAACATTTGAGATGAGTGACCTTGGGTTGATGCACTATTTTTTGGGCATTGAAATAAACCAAGAAGAAGATGGAATCTTCATATGCCAAAAAAAGTACACTGAGAATCTTTTGAAAAAGTTCAAAATGTACAGGTGCAAGACTGTAGCTACTCCACTTATTACCAATGAGAAATTAAGAAAAGAAGATGGATCAAGTAAAGCTAATGAATAAGTTTATAGAAGTCTTATTGGGAGCTTACTATACTTAACAACAACAAGACCTGACATCATGTACTCGACAAGCTTATTGTCAAGATTTATGCAAAATCCAAGTCAAATACACTATGGAGCAGCAAAGAGAATATTAAGATACTTGCAAGGCACAATTGACTATGGCATATGGTATAAGCCCACTACAAATCCAAGACTATTTGGCTACACAGACAGTGATTGGGCTGGATCAGTAGATGACATGAAAAGCACATCAGGCTATGCATTTACAATTGGATCAGGAATATTTTCATGGTCATCAAAGAAACAAGAGATTGTGGCTCTATCATCAGCAGAAGCCGAGTATGTAGCAGCAGCAAGTTCAGCATGTCAAGCTATTTGGCTCAAAAGAATATTTGAAGATATGGGAGAGTGCCAAACAGAAACTACTGAAATACTTTGCGACAACAAGTCTGCTATAGCAATGGCGAAGAATCCTGTATTCCACAGCAGGACAAAGCATATCGCCATCAAGCATCACTTCTTACGAGAAGTCTCAGCAAACAAAGAGGTTGAACTCAAGTATTGCAAGACAGAGGAGCAAATCGCAGACATTTTCACTAAGGCACTTCCAAGACCAAAATTTGAACTGCTACGAAGCATGCTCGGAGTGACACAAATGTGCATTAAGGAGGAGTGTTAAAAAATAATGCACACTTGTACTAGAATAATATAGAAAAGTCTAGAAAAATTGAGAAAATATGACAAATCAAATTGAGCTCTACACTAGAAACATCTTATTAATTCTATAATGTATTGTAACTAGACTATTCTAGGCTCATGTTATAACTAGTGGCTGAAGTTACTTAGACAAAGTCGGTTTCTGTGCAAACCGACTTAACTAAGCAAAAAGCCAACTTAGATAGTCGGTTCAGCAACTCTATATATAGCTATAACAGACCACCAATGTATTCAAGTAAACAAAGCTGAAAAACCAGCTGTCTAAACTCACATCAGTCACCTCTTGTATCCAATCAACTCTAAAGCCCTTGTACCCTTCTTATTTCAATCAATAAAATAAGATTATCTTGTTACTCTTTAAAAAAGTTTTCTATTCATTATCAAGCTATTGTCCTAAACAATATCAACCATTTTCCTAAACCTCTCTTCTCCCTAAAACTAACAGAATTGAAGTCGCAGTGAAAGTGCTTGATGTACAAATTAAAGGCTCCTGGAAGAGCTTTTTGGCGGAGTGCGAGGCGCTGAGGAGTGTGAGGCACAGAAATCTTGTTAAGGTGATCATAACATGCTCTAGCTTGGACTTCAAGAACATGGAGTTTCTGGCTTTGGTTTATGAGTATCTGAGTAATGGGAGCTTGGAAGACTGGATAAACGGCAAGAGAAAAAATGCAGATGGAGATGGATTGAACATTGTGGAGAGACTGAATGTGGCCATTGATGTTGCTTATGGATTGGACTATTTGCGTCATGATTGTGAAGTTCCAGTGGTGCACTGTGATTTAAAGCCCAGTAACATTCTCTTGGACACAGATATGACCGCAAAGATTGGAGATTTTGGGTTAGCTAAATTGCTGATGGAGAGAACAATGAGCACTCAACATTCCCTTAGCTCCACAAATTTCCTGAAGGGTTCTATTGGATACATACCCCCAGGTTAGTACTAATCGAACTGCCCTCTTTTGATTAAGTATTTTATACAGTTGATATAACTTTGGTGGTCATTTTACTTCAAATAATTCAGTTCTGAATTATTTCCACACTTGAAAAGTTATTTAGTTAGGTTCAATATTTCATGATCTTCCATCATACTAAGTTATCATTTTTTTAAAAATAAATAGTGTTTTGGGTCAAGTTCTAATTTACAGTACATGCTACATTATCGAAATTTGATGCATGGTGGCATTGATATTTGATCAATATTCGTAATATTGATTAAGTATTGTTTATGTATCAAATATTGTAGATTGATAATCGCTAACAATTAATATCACCATGTAGTGGTTGGTTTTTAGTATGCTGACTTTGAGATTGAACTACAATGTAGAGTATGGGTTTGGACAAAAACCATCGACAGCAGGAGATGCATACAGTTTTGGTGGAATGCTGTTGGAGCTCTCTACTGGGAAAAGCCCAACCCATGAAAGATTCACAGGGGACCAAAACCTCATCAGATGGGTGCAGGCAAGTTTCCCTCACAACATGACCAAAGTGATAGACTCTCAGATGCTAGACCTCATGCACTATCAGCCCAATGAAGACCCAAGAACCATCCCAGAACTAGAACGTAATTGCTTGATCTCAATTCTGGAGGTTGGCCTCTCTTGCAGTTGTGCCTCGCCTGATGCCCGCATTAGCCTGAGGGAAGCCCTTTAGAGCCATTCCAACCATGCAGCCCAGCCCGAGGGGAGGGGGGAAAAAGCCAAAAAAATGGTTCCAGCGGCGAAGCCCAGGCCCGGGGGGGTGTGGGACCCAACAACCCGGGCGGGCCCGACGGCA